TCTTGGGAAACTTGTTGGCAAAGCCCTTTAAGAACCCCTATAAACTCCTGGAGAAACCTTACAAAGTCCTGCAAAATAGGTTCGCCAGTAGTACCCTTTTGCCTCTTTTTCGTTTTGGGCTCCCTAACTTAACACCAAACAGCAGGAACATGGGTACCCTTTATGATTCAGGGGCTACTGGGAAACCTCGATAGGTTATAAGGCGCAGTGGGCTGTGAATCCAGAAAGGAGCACTTGTGGGCCGCGAGCCTTCATTTCCAAGCGCTAAGGCTATGAACTGCTGCAGATTCCGAATGGTGTAGGGAATCTCAAACGGTTTAGAGGGTGTAGGGTTTAGGGCAGTTGAGGGTTTAGGTTCTAACAGAGATTCAAGAAGACTTGGGAAGTCGCTGTGGAGGATCCGGCTGGGCTGCAGTCTGTCCCCCCGCTTCACCGTGGGCGGAATCAGACCTTTCTGCAGTTATGCTCTACCCATAGGCCCCATAGTAGTTCCTTTTTGGGGTTACCTTATAGGATTCTATATATGAACCACAAAAGGAACTACTTTAGGGCCTATGGGTATGGGGATATTGCAACAAGTTTCCTGTGTCACAGCTGCCGTGAGGACCCAGGTTCCATTTTGACTTCAACCGCTCACCTGAAGCCCAGGACTACTACAGCCGAGCGCAATCAGCCGGAAGACAGCACCCGAAACCCCAAACCAACAAGCCCACCCCCAAATGCCTAAGCCCTAACACCCTAAACCCGAAGCCCCTAAGCCCCTTAACCCTAAACCCACAAACCCTAACCCGAAACCCATAAACCCTAAGCCCTTTCTTCCGGATACTCGGCGTTTGTGTTTTGCGCTGGTTCTGCTCTCGGTTGGCGGAATGACAGCTTTCTACAGCTGGGTAGTTGTCAAAATTATGGTCCCTTTTGGGGTACCCTAAATAATAGGTGCCGTATTATAATAAGGACCCAGAAAGGGACCATAATTTTCACAACCACCCAACTATTAGTATCCCTTGGGTTTGGCAGTCTGTCTCAGGTACGAAATCCTCAAAGCACCATCATTTCGGCCCAGTCTGTTACTTAGGGTTTTTTGGGGAGCCGTGACTCTCGAACACGGGGTTGCAGTTTAAGTTACCATGGGGCGTAGGGCTTATCGCTATAAGTGGTTGCGTTGAGAAAGCCCTATAATGCACAACGGCCAGAACCGTCCACTTGCGGTATGCCAGGATGTTGTCCTACGACGCTTTGACTCTTCACGCCGCGAGTCTCAGTGTCGATTTTGCACTTCAATGTAATTCTGGGGCCCTTGTTTGTCCTTTACATCACGGCTCCTTTCAATGTTCCTTTAAGAGGCTTTATACCAGGTAATTGCTATGAGGAAGTTTTATGGTTTAGGGCTTCGCCACTGTGCTGTTAGGCTTAGTCGATCTTCGAGAAAACACTCACGAAGCTTCTCTGAACAAAAGCTATGAAACCCCATCAAGACCGTAAAGAGATTTGGTGCAAGCCAGACTGTCGCCAGACTTCATATCAGAGTTCGCGAAAATCTGCTTCCTCCTAGAGAATTAAGCACTCCTCCCTGCAGCGGTGCCTTACCCGGTGTGATGGACTGAAAAAGGTATTCCTCCATACGCTACGATCAAGGCTTTGTCACTGTCTGAACGCCGACCCTAAGCCCAAACTAGGGTTTAGGGTTTAGGGCCAGGAATCCTTGTAAGCCCTACACACTGAAGGCAGGAAGCGTGCCGCAGCAGCGCCAGATTCTAGCATCATCCACCCGAAGCATCTACAGCTTGCTGATCATGTGGGGCTGGCTTCAGATTGGATTCAGGGGTTTGGCTCTGGGGCGGGGGGGGGGGGGTTTGAAGCTTGAAATTACAGTTTTCGGGTTACTTCAGGGCTTTAACAATTAGCACTGGGGTCGGAAAGGTTAGAAATACTAGCTCTCAGGCTGCCTTACTATGCTTATACCACAATGTACCCCCCAACACCTGATTCTAATTCTTGAGACTCCTATTGTAGGGTTTTGTATATGGGCTTCCGGCTTACAGGATAGTGCCGTAAGACCCAAACATTGCAGGAGTGCCGGCTTCGAATGTGCGGGCTTCGGAGCTAAGGTTGAAGGTTTTATCTGTTTGAGGGTTTTAGGGTTTAGGGTTTAGGGCTGCTTTCGGGGTTTCGGGGTTTGGGATTCAAGTTTTGGGCTTCAGGATTTAAGGTTCGGGGCTTTCGAGGAAGATCCGTCAGGATTAAGGTCAGGTTTAGCTTTTAAGGGTTTCGGACGCTATCTTGGGCAGCCATCTCGCTTCTTTTCTTGGAAGGTTCCCTAAACCCTAAACCCTAAGGAAGGTTCAAGAGTTTAAGAGGTTGTAGATCCTGAACCTGGTGTGGCTGCACCTGTGATTGCTGCTGTGGTTGACACTACGCGTGTTTTCTCCAGTATTGCTGTGGTGATCCCGAATATTTGCACGCAGTCGCTTTCCGCGGCATATGAACCGGAAGATTTGTTTGCGTTGCTTTTGCGCAGCTTTCGTAGTCCTGGGTCATTCTGTGAACCAGGAGGTGGTGTCGTTTCGGGTGGCACGGCGTAGGCTGTGTGTTCTTGTCGATGTCCTGGGCGATTCATAGTGAACCGCAAGGTCTATTTGCGTGTGGTGCTTTTGGTAAGCCCGTAGCATATCGCAGGCCCTGTCCTCGCACCTTTCAGTATCGCTATTTCCGTCACTCTCTCTCCCTCTCTCTATTCTCTCTTGGTCTTGTTCTTCCTCTCTCCACCCTCTCTGTGTATCTTTCTTTCCGCCCCTGTATTCAAACAAATTATTGTGCAAAGGTGCACATCTCTATAGATGTATAGAGGTATGCGTGTGTATGTCTTTTCTTTATCTGTTTATTTCTGCGTTTGGCTTTGTACGCTAGGTAGTTTGCAGAGAACCATCCCCGAGAGCAAGTCCTATGTAGCTCACAAAGCACGAGCTGGGCCTTGAGAACGGCTCAAAAAGTGCTCAGCACGTGACCCTCTATTCAAGTCTGGAGAGGCTGGTCCTGCAACTTATCCCTTGTTTGTAGCATGAACTCTATATGTGGGCTTGCATTATGACCCTATCAAGGAGTGGGTTATGGGAGGTTGAGGTATACACCAACCTGCAACCGTATGCCCGAAGCCCTCAGACCGTCACAACTCCATCCCAAACCGGTCGAAGCATCTGATCGCCAGGCCGATGTTTCAACTCATCATCACTCAAAATCCGCGGCAGCCCCGGTTCATTCAGATCTGACCCAAACTCCCAACCAAAACCCATCAAACTGCAGATCCTGCAATGAGGATGATGATGATGATTACTAGTACCGGCATGTCAACAACCATGATGCCAAACTCTTCAAGATACGGTAATCCTCGCGATCGAAGGGGTTATATACGTGCAAAGGGAAGTGAAGGATTTATGTTTTGGGGTTTGCCGCAGATGAAGCTGATCAAGCTTTAGTAGCATTGGCCGGTGTTGAAGCTAATGACCAGGACGGTGACGACGGCCACGATGATGATGTCCGTTGCGATGCCTCGACGCCAGTACGACGATGCTGTCCTTACTACTACCACGATCATGTCATAGTTCTTACAATCTTAGACCCCAAATGGAAAGCCCTGAGCTTACAACGTGTCCTTCCTTCGTCCGGCTTCTGTGTAATTAGTGTATCTATCACCGGTACATGTCTAAGGTTCCTCTTCAAGTCCTCCCTGGTATTCGTGGCTGTGGCGTGCGTGGCTTCGAGCTCGCTTTGAGTACCACAGACTCTGCAAGACCCGGACCCTTTACCCAAGCCCCAAAGCCTAAGCCGTAAAGTCCTCCAGCCTCCGGACCCTCTACCCCAAACCCCACGCCTCAAGACTCTCTGCCCCAAACCCCAACCCCCAAATCCCCAAAGCCCAAAGCCTCTAGACCCTCTACCCCGAAACCCTGAAAATCAGCAGCAGTGAATGGGACCCGCAGTCGTACATCCCACATCCAGAAATGAGCCGACCCATGGGTTCCAGTTAGTATTGTTCTTCTTACTGTTGTTTTAGTATCCTTATTATCACCAAGAAGTAACTGCTTTTGTTATTGTGACGATTGCTGTTAGCCTTTACTTTGCTCTATCATCATGGCTTGCTTGTTCTTTGAGGGCTTGAGGGATCAGGGATTTAAGGTTCAGCGGCTTGGGGGGGCCCGGGTTGAGGGCTCCAGGGTTCTGGTTTGCGCTTTGCGCAGCTCCTCGGAGCACTGGCACTTGCTCGGGTTTAACACATATTACAGGTATATGTATGTGTGTATATATATATATAGATATAGACATAATTATAGATATAGATGTAGCAGCCTCCATACTTACCTATACTATCGCCGTGAGAGCTCCGTATTCTGATGAATGCCTTAGTACATCCCCAAAACCCCAGCAATTAAGGTCATTATATTAGAGTTCATGGCAGGGTTCCACATAACTTGCGCCAGGTATGTAGAATAGGGGCCCTCATCATCACAGGAGGGCTTTGAGGTATACTACAGCATTATTTAGTGCGTGATTATGTGATATTGGACGGGAGCGATAGAGGGGTGTTGTTACAAATTATTGCGAAACCCAGCATTCTTGCCCTCAACTTCTGGTGATGCAGCCCTGGAATCGCAACATTACGACTCCAGATCAGGTCCTAGTCCTGAACCCTAAGCCCAAGAGAGCCAAGACCCTAAACCCTAAACCCTAAACCCTAAACCCCAGCCCTAAACTGGACCGACGAACCTTTCAAAGCCTCAGTCCTAAACCCTTACAGGCCAGGCGCCGGTCCTCTGCCGATTTTTAATGTCAATCTCAGAGTCAAAACCAAAAGAGGGCAGAAACGCCAGCATCATTCATGAAGAAAGGCAGCTTCCTTAGCTCTGCGTCGCAGGTCGGGATCCTCCATGAGGGACGACGGTTTAGGGTTTAGGGTTTAGGGTTACGAGACTAGACCCCCAAGCCGGCTAGCATGGCAGGTGCTGATGTTCCTCGAGTCAACGAATCGTCTCTTTGGGCTTGGGCCTCAGAGCGCAAAGATTCTGAAGGTTCTTGTCCCCTAAACCCTAAACCCTAAACCCTAAACCCTAAACCCTAAGCTTCGGATTTTTTGGGGTTTTGAGGGGGCTTCGGCTTTGGGGATCTGGGAGCTGTGCCCTGAACCCCAAGCCGGGCCGGCACGATTTTGCATCGTGTTTCAGGGTTGAGGGCTTTTTAGGGTACTATCCAGTTGGTGTCGTTGGGTTCTATTTAGGGTTTAGGGTAGGGGTTTAGAGGTTTAGGGGTTTAGGGTTAGGGGTTTAGGGGTTTAGGGGTTTAGGGTTTAGGGTAAAGCAGCTACAATGCAGGTATGATCGTAAGAAGGGCAGCAGAGCATCAGCTGGGTAGTGTTCTGCACACATATGGCTTCGATGATGAGGTTCGAAATTTGGGGCTTGCCAAGCCTAGCCACGGGTTTGTGGATGTCAGGCTGAAGTTGTGCTTTGGGTTTAGGGATTAGGGTCTGTAGACGTTCGGCTTAAGTTGTGGATGATCAGCCACTACTCCCTTGCAATACCCGGCCCAAGCCCTTATGCCCGGAAGTCGTATACCCTGGATTCCGATGATACCGACATACCCCAAACCTTTGCAACCCCGAATATTGAATTTCCTACAGGCCCCGGCTCTAGAAGGACGAACCCTAAATCCGCAGCTTCATTTCAACATCCGAGGTCAAAGCCCGAGAGTTCTCAATCTTAGCCACTGGACCGAGGAACTTGTTCATGACCCAACAGAGCCGGGTCGTCTTTATCGGCGCCACCGTGGTGAACGCGTGCGCCTACCTACCCTATGACTTGTTCTTTCTTGAGGTTCTTTTTGGGGCTTCGGGCTTGAGCTTTCGGGTCTAGGGTATGGGGCTTATCTGGAGATTTCGGGTGGAAGGCTTCCGGGAGCTTCGCTCTACTTTCCGCAGGCCTGTGGCTGGCAGCTCAGGGAAATCAGCTGTGGACCGCAAGAGGCATAAGAAAGATGAAAAGTAGCGGCAGGAATGTCGAAGACTGAAATGAGGGACAGAGATGCGAGCAGCCTGACACGCAGGTACGTTGCACACAGTGCCGAGATTAGCCTGAGACAAAGATTCAAGGCAGGTTTGGGACGGTTCGTTGAACATAGATTCAGATCCTACAGCCTTTTCGACCTTAAGCCCGCAAGAACTCATGATCTGGGCCACAGTAAGCATCTTCCATTCATGCTTCCACTCATCACCCACGTTGCCATGCCCCTCAATGGGGTATTCTGAGCACTTCAGCGCAAAACCCGAAAAGTCCTGCACACGGCCGGCTAGGATGCTCTCATTGAAAGCATGACCATGTAGCTGCAATAAGAACCCCCAGGGTTTGGGGGGTGGGGGGGGGGTTGGGTTGCAGGGATTAGGTGAGGCTGAACATGTTGTAACTTGCGTTAGTTTTTGGAGGTTCGGCAAGACCTGTAAGAATCTGTTATTTTCGTACAATGCTGGTTTTGCCGTGTGGAAGCTACTTCGTCGGCTGCGAACCAGGTTACTACGACCTACACTCCAACTGCTGCAGAGAGATTGCTCGCACTGCCAGCACATCGCGATCAGACTGTAGGATAAATTTCCGTGAGTTTTTTTGCCCGGGCCCTATTATAGATTTGTGGACTAGCGAGCAGCGCGCAGGACTCACCTATAAGCCCCACAAAAACCCACACGCGATGCAACCCGAAGGCAAAGCGGGCGGTGGAGGTCACCCACGAGAGGACGGAGTCCATCCTGAACCTCGGAGCCTGAAATTGGCGGACTAGCCAAAGACCCTGATCCCTGCACCCTAGACTCCTAGACCTGCTTGCAATGCTCAGTGACTACCAGCACCCACCACCACCGCCACTGCCACCCCCAGCACCACCACCACCATCACCACCCACCAATCATGATTGGCCCTGCCTCTACTGAGGAACACCTTGATGCCCGTTATGGTCGTTGAGGCCTGCAGCGTAGAGTGTTGAGAGTTCTTCGCTTTTGGTTGTAGCGCTGGTCGAAGACCGAAGCTTCAAATCATGTACCGCAATATCCCGTTTAGGCTCAGAGCTTAGGGTCCCAGCATCAGATAGCTGCAGACTTGCACGGCTTCGGCAGCTTTTAGCTTTTGCCTGGCAGCCGTTGTGTTTCACTCAGTTCTTTTCAGTTTGAGGGGCACGCTGGAAACACGGACCCAAAAGTAGATCGTAGTAGACCCAAGTTTTCAGATCCTGAATATTACGGTATTGCCCCTGCCCCAAAAGCAGGCGTGTCTTGAAGACAAGCTGGCATCATCATCATCATCATCATCATCATCATCATTGCCATCGTCAATGCTATGTAGCTGTCATAGTAACAATTTTATCTGCAGCAATAGCAAACACAAGAACCATAGGCAGTGTTGTTAATTTATATGTAAGCTTCAACCCTGAACCCAAACCCTACCTGAACCCTAAACCCTAAACTGAAACCC